GCTGTCTCTATAGATACCCAAAAGTGATCTGCTACACTAGATAGAGGTTTATATTCTTTGCCTAGAAGGCTTTTACCAAGTTGGCTCAAAAGTCTTGTAGACCTTGAAGAGGTCTTGATTTAGTTTCATTAAGTCAAGTTTACCTTTCTGCTATATCAGTGTTGGCACCTAGACCAGATATGGACATGGACTGAACCAGACTAGAATGTCCATATCCATGTCCAAGAATATGATAAGCTGTGGACATATATATATGTATAACAAGTATTGGCACATAGACTAGGATGTGAATATGGACCGGACTGTCCACGATCATATGATAACTGTAGACATATGTCCAGAAAATGGGCAGAGTTAAAAAAATGTTTCACTAAATAATACGTATTTGATCCTCAAGCTAAAAATAAGTATTTACATTTCAAATATGATTATATCATTAGTTAAAATTGTGCCATTTTAGATCTTTTAACTTGTGTTCATTATTCAAACGCTATTAACTTATTTTAATCGCAAACTTTTAGAGTTATATGATTTTGAACGATCTAATTTTTTAACTTATATATACACTTTCAGTTTAATAAATTTACCAAAATATGTATAATTTAGATAATCATATATTTGTTAGTTTGCTTCAATATAGTTAAAAATTGATTTTAACTTGTTAATTTTCTATATATAATTCAAATTCAAAAGACTTTTAAACAAAGAAGCAAGGTATGTTAACACAATTTAATCTAATTTTATTAAAAAAAACTTATTTAATTCTTTATACGTATAGTAAATATGTTTCCTATAAGCAATTTTGTATAGAATATTATGGAGCGTTATAAAGGTTATTGTACTGTACTGTACTATAATTTTTTAGAAGCATTAAACAATCAGAATATCTGATCTATATACAGTCAACTCTTGCTGATGGTTCTGGGAGAAAAAAAAAAGTTCATTATAGAAATTACTATATTTTCTTAAGAAACTTAGCACTTTTTATGCTGAACTACTATGAAAATTTTAAAAATTTGAGTTCATTATATCCAGAGTTTGTTTAGAAAGGTTCATTAAATTCAGAGTTAACTGTATTTAGGGTAACTATAAATCATTGAAGAGTGATTTTAGATCCCACTTAGCAGCAGGATTTATAGCCGGATGAATCATGTTCTCAATTTTAGAAAGTATCTCATTATCATCGTCATCATTCCTCTCATTAATTTCCTCAACCTCCTTTGCTGCTATCTCTACCCACACATCTAAAAATTCTCCAAACCTTTCTTTTAAGGAATCTGAATCTGGCAACTCATCATCCAAATCTTCATTCATAGTTAGGTCCTCAAATTCTTCAGACTTGGGTCTAATTTAACAGGGCTCTATAGGTTTGTTATCAAATCTGTAATTTTCATAGTTTATATTTTTTTTGACTAATAGTACTTTCTTCTGAAAAATTAGGTGGAAACAATTTAACAGGTTTGGATTTTTGTGAATATTCCCATGCAATGACTGCCTTTAATTTACTCATATCAAGAGCTCTTGATGACTAAAAAAAAAAAAATTAAATACAAAAATATTATAGTATTTCAAATTACTGTAACTACCCAATAATAATCTATTATGAAAAATCTGAATTTAGAATTATCTTTTGGATTATTGGGTGGCTACAGAAGTTCGATATGGGTATATGCACTTCTGTATATAAAATTTTTTTGTGCACAAAAAAATTTACAGATGTGTATTAACAAAATATATATAATACATACATTCATTTACGATTTTTTCAGTATAGTTAAACAGAATATGCGTTTGCATACTAAATTCAATTTTGAATTTTTTTTTTACTAGTGATAATAATTTAAAAAATGGTATAATGCAATTGAATTAAAAAACACTTACTGCTAATCTATTTCTTCGATTTGTTTATAAAAATCTCATGCAACTCCAAAGGCGTTCAACTGCAGCGGTATTGACACAAATTCCATATAATTGACAAGTAACCAATCCTAATTCAATGTTGAATCTTTTGCATAATTCCAATATTTCCAAATATCACCAAAATGATCATAAGTTTTTTCATCAAATGGATATTCTCCTGTAGAAAAATCGGCAAATTTACATAAAATACATTTAGAATCATCTTCCAACCAAGTCTTATAGTAATATTTTAGATATTCATCTAATTTCAAATAATTGATTTTTAATTTATCTTTAAAATAGGTCATTCGATATTTGGGATGCAATAAGCAAGCTAAAATTAAAAGAGGTTGTTCCCAATTATTCTATCGTTTGTCTAACCTATTCAAAATCTTTTTAGCAAGCTGCAGGTTTGAATAATTATTCTAAAATTGAACCAAATATGCAAGACTATGTATAACATGTATTAACCTTGTACTATTAGATTGCAAAATATTTAATATTTTGCAATATAGATATAAAATTTTAGCAAT